ACTCCTATTTACAGTGTCTGCGGGTCTCCCCACCGTCTCTGGAGATCTCCCCACCGTCTCTGGAGATCCCCACCGTCTCTGCGGGTCTCCCCACTGTCTCTGCGGGTCTCCCCACTGTCTCTGCGGGTCTCCCCACCATCGCTGGAGATCTCCCCACCATCTCTGCAGTCTCCCCACTCTCTGCGGATCTCCACGTCTTGCGGTCATCCCCCACCATCTCTGGAGATCTCCCCACCGTCTCTGGAGATCTCCCACCGTCTCTGCGTGGTCTCCCCCACCGTCTGCGTTGTCTTCCACGTCTCGCGGTCTCCCCACCATCTCTGGAGATCTCCCACTGTCTCTGCAGGTCTCCCCACCATCTCTGGGATCTCCCCACCGCTCTGGAGATCTCCCACCGTTCTGCCAAGTCCCCACCTATCTCTGGAGATCTCCCCACCGTCTCTGCAAGTCTCCCCACCGTCTTCTGCGGATCTCCCCACCGTCTCTTGCGGGTCTCCCCCCACCATCTGGAGACTCCCCCCCATCTTCTGCAAGTCTCCCCACCATCTCTGCGGATCTCCCCACTGTCTCTGCGGGTCACCCCACCATCTCTGGGATCTCCCCACGTCCTGAGAGTCTAACAGCTTCTTCAGCCTCCGGCGTTTGCCCAGCTGTCCGCAGACTTCAGCTCCGCGGTCTGGCGGCTTTCAGAACATGTGTCAGCTCATCGGGACATCTCTGTGCTAGCCGGTTTTCAGGGCACACTCAGCTCAGCCTGTGGCGGGCGTGGGCTCCTGCTCAGCGTGCTCTGGGGCCCTACAGCCTCGCTGAAGCAGCTCTGCTTCCTGCCTTGTGGCTACACAGGCCTGCTCCTGTTTTTCAGTTTGTCAGCGTTTTTCTTGGCCTAGTGCCTATCCTCCCTAAGACAATGTTTGCCTACTTCAAGGTCATGAAAATTTCCGTGCATTTCCCAGAAGCTTTTATTATAGCTTTCAAATTTAAGACCACGGTCTACCTCAGATTAATTTCTGTGCATGGCCGGGCGCGGTGCTCACACCTGTAATCCTAGCTCTCTGAGAGGCCAAGGCGGGCGGATCATTGAGTTCAGGAGAAACCAACCTGAGCAAGAGCGAGACCCATCTCTACTATAAATAGAAGAAATTAATTGGAACTAATATATATAGAAAAAAAAATTAGCCAGGTATGGTGGCGCATCCCTGTAGTCCCAGCTACTCGGGAGGCTGAGGCAGGAGGATCGCTTGAGCCCAGGAGTTTGAGGTTGCTGTGAGCTAGGCTGACATCCGCAACTCACTCTAGCCCGTGCAACAGAGCCAGACTCTGTCTCAAAAAAAAAAAATTTTCTGTGCATGGAGTGAGGTAGAGGTCAAGGCTCATTTTTTTCCCCCTTTACGAGTATCCAGTTACCCCAGAACATTTGTTTCAGAGCCTGCCCTGTCCCTACCACTTAGCCGCGAAACACTTTCCTGACTGTGGTCTGCCTGTCACTTCTTTTTTTTTGAGACAGGGTCTCACTTTGTTGCCCAGGCTAGAGTGAGTATTGTGGCATCAGCCTAGCTCACAGCAACCTCAAACTCCTGGGCTCAGGCGATCCTCCTGCCTCAGCCTCCAGAGTAGCTGGGACTACAGGCATGCGCCACCATGTCCGGCTAATGTTTTCTATATATATTAGTTGGCCAATTAATTTCTTTCTATTTATAGTAGAGACAGGGTCTCACTCTTGCTCAGGCTGGTTTTGAACTCCTGACCTCGAGCAATCCGCCCGCCTCGGCCTCCCAGAGAGCTAGGATTACAGGCGTGACCACCGCACCGGCCTGCCTGTCACTTCTTACTCCCGACACAGTGCTCAGGGCTGCGGCGCCGGCGAGTCTTGAATCTGGTCGTGTAGGTCCTTCGCCCGCTTCTCTCTAAGAAACAGTCCTTTGATTTTCACAGAATCAGTTCATCAGTTTCTGCCAAAAACTCGCTAGGGTATTGGCTGTGAGTGCGTTTATGTGCGTTCTGCTCTGCTCTGGCTTGGGTCTCTTCTAGCAGGTTTTTCCCTCTGCCCCCCTAGGACCTTCTCCTCCACGGCTCCTGGAACTGCTCCAACTGTGCCGACTTCTGTATCAAGCGTGGTATCTCAGGAGGTCCCACTGCCACCATAGCTGGAGAGGCCACCAACGTCCCCTGGCTCTGCGTCCTGACCAGTAAGGCGCCCTCGTTGGCATTGGCATCTCACTCACAGTGAGAGGCTGCTGGGGCCTATTCTCTCTTGCTTCCCACAGCCACCCTGGCCCTGCAGCGGCAGTCAGGGACAGTCGTAGTGCCTGCTTTCAGCTGCATTTTGAGCCTATCTGAGGATGTCCCTTAAACACCTCTTGTCTTAAAGGGGTTTCATTGTCCCCTTGAGCCTCTGGTCAGCCCAGTGGCCAGATGTCAGTTACCTGACTGCTGCCTTGCAAGCCTTTCCTCTTTCTTCCCCGCGGCCGCTCTGTCGCCCAGGAGGCGTCCCCTCCAGAGGGCCTGCCCTTTTTTTTTTTTTTTTTCTTGTAGAGACAGAGTCTCGCTATGTTGCCAGGCTGTTCTTGATCTCCTGGTCTCAAGCAGTCCTCCTGCCTGGGCCTCCCAAAGTGCTGGGATTACAGGCCTGAGCCACTACGCCCATCCAAGAGGTCTTCTTTTATTAATAACATCTTTTCATTTCAGGGGCTCAATTATTAATACTTAACATAGCAGAAATTACCTATTGGTCTTCCTGTGGAGGTCACAACTTTTTTTAATGTCCATAATAAAAGGTCATTGGCTTCTAAACAGTTTTCATGAGTCTTAAAGTATTTTTTCATTAATCTGTTCAATAAATTTTTATGAAGTGCCTCTTACAGGCCAGACACTCTTCTAGGCGAGAGACATAGCAATGAACAAAACCAATAAAAATCCCTGCCATCATGGGAATTCAACTGCATTTACTGTATATTAGAAAGCTGGGGCTGCCGTTTTGAAGAGGGTGGCCTCAAGGTAGGCCTCAGAGGCAGTGAGCAGGCCGGAGGGCCTCGGCTCAAGTCCCTTCCCTGCCAGGAGAAGGACAAATAAGAGGTGGTTCAAAGACTACACTTCAGATTTACCAAAACTTTAAAAGTCTCCTATGTCCAGAGCCTTCCATGCTCCATGCTTCCTTTAGTTCTTCTGTTGAGCTGGTGCAGTTGGCACCACTGTTCCATGCAGCTGAGGACACAGGGCTTCCGAGCCCCTGAGTGCCCCAAGCAAGGGTGCAAAACCCTCCACTCTGATCCCTTAAAGCCAGTGGAGTTTGCTACTCTGACTGCTGCCTTGTCATTCATTCACTCGGCGGGTACCTATTTGTTCCTTATGTTTACCAGCATCTGGGGGTGCTGTAAAAAGACTTGACTTTGCCCATTAACTTCTTTGAATCTCTTTTCCCTACCTGTAAAACAATAGGATCAGAGCTCTCGTGTGACAGGTTCGTGGCAAAGATTAAACAAACAAATATATGAATAGCGTCCTTCATGGGGGCCCACAAATGCCAAGGCCTGGCTGCGTGCTGTGGCCTTAACCGTTTGGAGTCTGGGCTGGGAGCCCACACTGTGTGTTCAAACTTGTCTCCACCTTGGCCGTGCTAAGTGTCCTTGAGAAGAGTACTTAACCACCCTGAGCCTTCTGTCCTCATCTATACAGTTGGGAAGATAGTCTAGCTCTCAACTTCACAGGGTTCTTGTGAAAAGTAAACGAATCAACGTAAGACCCCACTTGTGGGACCTGCCTGCCTCGTAGCGAGTGCTGGAGAAAGCCTGGCTGTTGCTATGGCTGTGGGGCTGCGTACAAGTCACTTTTCCTCCATGACATTGAAGGTTCTCAGATGTGAGACAGAGTGGCCGACAGCTTCTAGGGAGCCCCGAGGGGAGTTGGGAGAGCAATCACCACAGAGGAGAGCCCAGAAAGAGAGTGTCTGGGAGGCAAGCAGCCAGGCCCGAAGTGTCCCGGTCAATGGCTGTCGCCGGCCCTGCTGCCTGGGCACAGGCCGTGGAATGGGCGCAGCGGAGCGAGGGCCAGGCAGTTCAGCTCTCCTCTCCGCCAGCCTCCGTTCTCTCAGGGACCAGGCTTCTCTGTTGCCCTCAGCCACTTCTTGTCACCCTACATTTCTTTCAACGACTGAGCTCCCCAGCCCCGACTGTCCTCGTCAGGAGGGTGGATTGTGGTTTCCCGGGATTTGGAGCAGGCCCAGGTTCTGGTCGCCGCCCTGGGCTAACACAGGCTGGAAACCTCAGTCATGTGGCAACACTATCTCTCTCGCTCTTTGGCGATCTCTGGGCTTTCACTCTCCTGGCCAGATATCAGAGACATCTCCTCTGTCCCCACCAGGGTGTTTTGCCACGGAATTAAGGCCCATATCTGTCCACTGACAGGGTGTTTTCTGTCACTCCCTGTCCTTAAACACAGCCAGTCCCTCCCAGGACCCAGCTGCCTCATTCGCTGCGTCACGACCCCCGAGCAGAGACCTTTTCCTTTCAGGAAGTCCCCTTCATCCATCCCCAGATGGCTTGAAGTGTGTGAAGCGGGCGCCTCGTGGGGTGATCATTCCCCTCAGCCAGACTGAGCTTCACGGCCAAAGTGAAAGCTTCCCCTCCCCTCTTCCTCCCATCCTCCATTCCCCTCACAGTCTCGCTGTAACCTGGGCCACTGCGCGTCCCTGTGAGGGGTCCGCAAGGGCTCTCACCTTGGTCTCTCGTGTGGTTATATCTGGGATGGAGCTAGAGAGCTGTGGAAAGATAGAGATTCTAAAGTTTATTCCCTTTCCTCTCAGTTCTGCCACAGAAAGGGGATTCCATCCCATAAGTCTGTAATCCTGAAGGAGCACTGGCAGAGCAAAATGCTAGTTGATGCCGCTCTCAAACCCTACCATTCAACAAGCATCACGGGGAATGGAGGTTGACAGGCACGTAACTGTGATGTCGACAGGAAAAAGTCATTCATAAAGACTTTTTTGAGCGCTGAGATGTAGCTAGATCTTATCTGCTTGGAGGGATCAGGAAATGCCCTGAAGCCACAGGCCCTAAGGTGGAGGGCTGAGGGCAGGTGTGCGGAAGGGAGCTGTGTGCTCGCTGAAGGCACCCAACAATGCAGGGGAGCTGCCGGGGAGAATGGGGACCGACCGGATGTCACAGTATTCGGAGGAGACTGGCTGGGGAAACATATCTGGGGGCAAAAGGGGCTCCTGGAGAGCGAGGCAGGCAGGGAGTCAGGGAAGAACACTCGGAAAACTTCTTGTTTGCTGCTTCCCTCCACAGGCGCTGCTCCATTTCAAGAATGGCAGAAAACTGGGGAATCCCCAACATCTGGTCATTTATTTCCCCTCGCTGTAGGCCCTGTTTCCGGTGCTCCCTCTGTCTATACTGTTCTGTCTTCAGGAGAAAGACTGCCAGACCTCCCTAAATCTATAGAAACCCCAAAACCAAAACATCACTGCAACACCACACACCATTCAGAGCCAATTCACAAACCTATAGACAACTCTAAAAGCACAGACCACAAAAGGCCTACAGCTGATCATGAAGCTCCTCCCACTTCGGGACAAAACCCCAGCAATCAAGGAAAAGAGCCAATCACCCGCAACAAACGCTCTGTTGATCCCACTAACTCTGCTACCACACATAAAGATTCCTCTGATAAAAAGCATCTAACCCCAGCTCCCAAGAGCAAAACAACTTGTCGTAGATCCACAATAAAAAGACCAACAAGGAAACCAATGGTAACAGGAAACTCAGATAAAACCATTAGCTCTTTGGAAAAGACCACCATTACTTTACGTAATAAAAGTACCACATCACCAAAGATTACAATTCCCTTCCACCTCTCAGACAATTCAGGGAGCAACAAAAAAACAACATCCTCTTCAGAAAAAATCACAACAGCCACAAAAACAACATACAAGACTATACAAACTCCACAGAAGTCAGAAAAACCTGAAGACAGTACTACAGTTGCCTCAGACAAGCTCCAGATAAAAACTACAAAACACATAAAAGAGACCACGTTGGCTAGTGAGAAGACCACAAGAGCCTCTGCAAAGCCTACAGAACACGGAGAAAAGACCACATCAGACAACGTGAAGACCACACCATACTCAGCAAAGCCCACACAACATGGAGAAAAGACCCCATCAGTCTATGAGAAGATCATGCCATCCTCAGCAAACCCTAAACAACATGGAGAAAACATCACAATCCTGAAATGGCTCATTTCTGGTTTAGATAAGAGCCAGCCTCAGTTCATGCTAGTTTATTTGCATGATGACAAAATGAGAGAAAATTCATCGGTTTAAGCAAGTTTTAAGCACCCATATATATACTCATTGATGATAGAAAGAAGTATAAGCTTTTAGTCCTAACTTGGGACACAAATACAGGAAAATTAAAATTAAATAATTCAACAAGAGTTGTTAGCAGGCCGGGCGTGGTGGCTCACGCCTGTAATCCAAGCAATCTGGGAGGCCAAGGCGGTGGATTGCTCAAGGTCAGAGTTCGAATCCAGCCTGAGTACCCCGTCTCTACTAAAAAAGAAAGAAATTAATGGCCAACTAAAACATATAGAAAAATTAGCTGGCATGGTGCGCATGCCTGTAGTCCAGCTACTGGGGAGGCTGAGGCAGGAGGACGCTTGAGCCCAGGGTTTGAGGTTGCTGTGAGCTAGGCTGACGCCAGGCACTCACTCTAGCCTGGGCAACAAAGTGAACTCTGTCTCAAAAAAAAAAAAAGAGTTGTTAGCAGGTAGTGCTATACAGAACAAAAGAATGCCTTAATTAAACCCAACTTTATGGCATCTACCACACCCTATATTTATGTTAGCCCTGCTAACAGGACACCAGGCCTGCTCCCAAACCATTCTGTGCCCAAGTGTCAGTCCCAACCCTCTCATCACCCATGCCTTGGCTCTCAGATCTTACTGGAGGAACGACATACTGGCTGACTGGAAAGGCACCCCGGCTGGCTACTGGCCTTTTACCCTTAACTGCATCCAGAATCAGACAGCGGGGCCGCGGGTCACCATTTGCTGCTTTGGGCGTCCACATTTGCTGAGAGCCTATCCTGGTCAGTAGTCCAAACCTGACACCGACGTCACTGAACTGTCTGGCCCTTACGGGCCTGAAGGTCTCTCTGAACCTTCCACCGGAGACCCTGTTTGCTAAGGGAAGGATTGCAGCTGGCCCAGAAAGGAGGCATGCCAGGTGCCAGAGGGACTCAGCTCCTTGAAGAAGGCCTGAGCCCAGAGGGAACCTGGGTTCTAGAAGAGGGTTGAGAAAAGGAGAAAGATGCCTGATTTGTAGTTGTCTGGGCAGACAGTGACTCAGCGTGTGGCAGCTGCCAGCATAGGAGAGTCTCTCTGCCCTGGGAGAAATGCAGAGACGCCTAACCCCAGCCTCTAACTGTTGAATTTCCCCAGCCTGGACCCTAATTAAAAAACAAAATTAGGCCGGGCGCGGTGGCTCACGCCTGTAATCCTAGCACTCTGGGAGGCGAGGTGGCAGGATAGCTCGAGTCAGGAGTTCAAAACCAGCCTGAGCAAGAGCAGACCCCGTCTCTACTATAAATAGAAAGAAATTAATTGGCCAACTAATATATATAAAAAAATGAGCGGGCATGGTGCACATGCCTGTAGTCCCAGCTAATCGGAGGCTGAGGCAGGAGGATCGCTTGAGCCCAGGAGTTGAGGTTGCAGCTAGGCTGACGCCAGGGCACTCACTCTAGCCTGGGCAACAAAGTGAGACTCTGTCTCAAAAAAAAAAAAAAAAAAATTAAATAAAACAACTTGTGCCCTAAGAGTCTTAAACACTCTACCGAGACCCCTCCCTGCCAAGGCAGCAAAGCACGGGGCGAAAGGGTCGGGTCCGGCCGGCTCTGCGCCGGGCA